TTTAGCATTGCTAAAATTGGTAACAAAATGAACAAGCGCTTGGTCCCCTACTAAGAGTAAACCTTTTTTTTTCAAATTTAATCAAATTTGGTTTAAGTTTAAACTTATTTCAGTCCAAAATTTCTAAACCTGTTGTAAATAACTTGTTTCACTGTCGGTACTTAAACTTGTTCGCCTGGATGAACCTGTGTCATCTAGATTCCCGAACTCTCAAAATATATTCATGTCCTAAAACTTATCAAAGTGTGGTATTCTGGTCCCAAATTACTAAGACCCTTTTGGGATCATACGTTGTATTCAGATGACATGCAACACGAGCATTTACTCATTTTCATTTTATATTTTTTTCTCCCCCTTTTCTTCTCTTCTTCCTTTCTGATCGTGCGTAAAAAAAAAGAAAAAAAAGATAAGGGAATTTAGAGGGGAAAAAAAGAAAAGAAAAATTAACCAAAATGTTAGGCATGCCACTTAGCATCCATACGACATGCCATGTAAGCGCCAGCAATCGAAAAATTGTAAAACACCGACCAATCCTTCTGATAGCTAGAATCGCTCTAGGATTCGTGCTATATCTCAACGATTTGCTGGCCGCCCAGTCTTGAAAGATGTTTATATGGGTAGGGTTTACGTGCACGTGTTTACAGGGATGGATGTGAGTGTGTTGTGAATGTCAGCGTTGTTCTGTATAATTAAAAGAAAAATAAAGGACACATCTCTTGTCTGTCACGCCCAGAAATTTAGCCCAAATTTCCAGACTATTTTGTGTAGTAAATCCCTGTCCAGGACCAGCCAGGGTACACAAAACGACAAGTAATATACAGTTCCAAACGTAAATAAAGCGTAAAATACTTACAGAAGAGGCACTTAGTCCTCACACCGAAACAAAAGCAGCAGCAGCGGAAAAAGGCGATCCTAGCGGGGCTTCAGCTCCACTCCACAGGCAAAACTCAACTGGGGTCTGAGCCTTGGTCCTCTAACTCCATCTTCAGCTCAGAAGCACTACACTTCTGAAAAGGGGGAATAATAGCAAGGCTGAGTACAACCACCGTACTCAGCAAGCCACACCAACGATGCAGACGTGCAAGGGGATACAAGGATGGTTTGTGGCTATTTGCATAAAGGCAGTTGTAAAACACTTTATTGAGCAAAACAGTAAAACTGTTGAGTAATTAAAGTAACATTAAATCTCCACTGATCAACGCTACACCATGTTGAACAGGCCCAACCAACCCACCTGGACTACAGTGCATTGGGTCGATTTATTAAGATGGGACTAATCACGGTGAATCTGGTCGACCGCCCATAACCGCGGGCACGGCTATTCGAATAGTTTTACTCTGATCAGAGGTGTACAACTGTACCCACAAGACACAGCCCCACGACACGTTTCCGTGCGCCGACATGCCACCACGACATACCGGAAAGAGGCCGTGACAGGACCCTTCGCATAACCCCCTCTAGCCAAGCACACCACACCTCAGGTTTCACCCCCGTCCCCAGCGGGCAACGGGCAGTCCCCTCTCGTGCCTAGGTGAATCCGGAAGCGACAGAGGCCGTCGCAGGGCCCGCCCCGCTCCATCACGCCCACCCTTGCCTGGATGCGTCGACTAGAGGAAAGCTACACTACAAGCCCAGCCGTTGCCCACGCTGGCTTGTGGTAAGTACGATAAGTTCTTCCAGGGCATCCCGCGAACCGGTCCTTAATTGCCATGGGTGCGACCAGCAAAACCATGCACCCACAGCCCACCATTCAGTCGCATTTTAGTTGGATAATTACGACCATGAAGCATGGCCAGGTGTCTCGAGCACGCAGCTCAAACTGATACTAAAAAGGTCTAATACTGTAATTATCCCATCAACTGAGCTAGTGGTAATTAAGCATGGCTAAGCATATAGTTCTAGCTAGGTCACATAAGTAACATGAGCTAGTCGATTCATTACCCAAGGTTGACAAAGAACAGATATCAAGTAAACATGGCACAAGCGAACAGATAGGTAATACCCGGATCCCATGTAATTAGCAAAACATGCATATTTATTTGCAAACAGTAAAACATTTGTAAATTAGGATCAACATGCTCAAGGGGAATGTGTGACTTGCCTTGCTTCTTCACTTTGATCTTCCGAACTCTTTTCCTCGCGACCGCGGACTTCCGAAACGACGGAAACTACACGCTGGCACGCAAAACGAGGAAAAACTCTAATAAAAACCGAGGAAACAGTACATAAAAACTAAACAAACATGTAGAGCTCAATTTTAGATGAATTTTGCAAGTTGAATGGCTCAATTCGGAGTTCGAATGAATTAGATATGAATTTTAGAAGTTTTGAGCCATTTAAATGAATTTCTAGAATTAAACTCGATTTATTGCGCAATTATTAATTATTTTTTCAAAGGAAAAGCTTAAGTACTGACGTCATCAAAGAGGCCGGCGCCGACAGGCGGGCCCCACACGTCAGCGGGTCAAGGGAATCGGTCCACCGTGGACCGGGACCACGGGGTGGTCCACCGCCGGTCCACAGGAACCGACGGCCCAGATCAGCTCGAGCTGATCGGGCGGCCACGAGGCAGGGCGCCCAGAGCACGGGCACGGCTCAGAGCCGGCCCGGTCGAGACACGACGCACGGCGGCGCCCGGCCACCGGCGGCGAGCAGCGGCGCGAGAGGGCGCGCGAAGGGCGGCGGAAAGAAGAGGAGGAAAGGGGATGCTCACCAAGCGGCACGGCACCGGACGGAGGCGAGGTAGTGGCGGAGCTCCCCGGGCGAGGACGACGGCGGCGCCCCAACGGCGGCCGACGGGCGACGAGTGACGGCCGGGGGCCTCCGGGACCTTGAACGGGGAAAAGCGGGCTCCCGTGGAATTTCGGCGGCGAGGGGCGGCAACCGAGGTGCGGCACGACGCGGCGACGCTGAGGATGGCCACGGGTGCGGCTCGGGACGGCCGGGAGCGGCGGTAAACGGTGGCCGGGGCGGCGAAAGCGGCGGCGGCCTCGGGTTGGCAGTGGAGGTGACAGCTTGGCGGTCGATTGGGGGAGAGGAGCGGCCGATAGGCTTGTCCTCGCGGCGGCGAAGCCGGCTGCGGTGGTGGCAGGGTGCGGGAGCGGCGACGGCGGAGGGAGGTGGTGCACGTGGTGGCGGTGTTTCGGAGTTGGGGAGGGGAAAAGGACTAGGGGCCGGGGTAGAGCTCGGCACAGCGATGCCGACGACACAAACGGCACGGCGCGGCAAGCCCTAGGGCGGCAGTAGCAGGCGGCTGGAGGCGGTGAAAGACGGTGGTTTCGGCTTGCACTGTGGGAATGGTGCTGCGGGGGTGGAAGGAGAGAACGGAGTGGATGCCGGGGTGCGCACGGCGGCTGCGGTGCCGGAGAGGGCGACGGCGCAGTGCGGGGTGGACGGGAGTGGCGGCGCGGCGCTGCTGGAGTTCGCCGGAGAGCGGCGGTGCAAGGGCTCGGCGCGGGGAGAGCGAGGGAGGGCGCGGCGGCTTGGGGAAAATGGGGGAAAAGGATGAGGGGAGCCCGGGGATCGTTTTTATAGCCTCGAGAGTCGACGGGGAGGCCGGTTGGCGACGGATTTGAAGGGGGAAAGGGGCGCCGGCGACGTGGGTGAGTGGGGCAGTTTGGCGCCGGTTTTGGAGGGGAGAAGTGGGGGAAATGGTGGAGGAAGGGGATGACGTGGGGTGGACCGCGCCCACACGCGCGCGGGAAACGGCAGACGCGCGGGGAGGGGCGGCGACGTGGGCGGCTCGGGCGGCCATGGCAGTTGCCGGCCCGGGCTGGAGGTTGGGGATGACAGGTGGGGCCCACGGGTCCCACCTGTCGGCCTGAGTGAGAGGAGAGGCCGGGAGGGAGGAAAAGCAGACTTGCGCCAAAAGGGGAGGCAAGCCGGGCCGCGGGAGGGGAAGGAGAGAGGATTTTGGGCCGAGCCCGAAAGGGAGGAAGGGGAAGTTTATTTTGTTTTCTTTTTATTTAAATTGGTTTAATGAACTTTGTGACTTTAAAATTATTTCTTGAACTCCGAAAATTCACGGAAAAACCCGGAGAGTATTTTAGGGCACAAAGAATATTGCAAAATATTCCCGGCCAATGATTTTTAAGGGAAAATTTTAAATTCCCTCAATATTTCACTTGATTAAATTGCTTTAACTTTTATTTAATTTCTAGAAAATGCATTATTAAATGATTTTTAATCTCGAACGAAAATCGGGGCGTTACATTGTCTCACTTTCTTCCCTCTATTCATCGATCGCTGCTTCCTCCCACCGTGTTACCCTCCTTAATTTCCCATCTCTATCGGATTAATGACACCCGGTCATCTTCTTATTGAAGTGCAACATTGACACCACTCACGCAACTCACACCAATAAATACGCTGCCCCGGTCCCGTCACATACTAACCACTATGGATAGAGGCAGTGTTTAGTTGCATGCCCAAAATTTTGTTTGACGTATACGGACATATTTAAAGTATTAAACATAGTCTAATAATAAAACAAATTACATAATCCATATGTAAACTGCTAGACGAATTTATTAAGCCTAATTAATCCGTCATTAGTAAATGTTTATTGTAGCACCACATTGTCAAATCATGGCGTAATTAAGCTCAAAAGATTCGTCTCGCAATTTTACATGCAAACCGTGTAATTGGTTCTTTTCCTCATTTAATGCTCCATGCATATGCCCAAACATTTGATGTGGCGGAATTTTTAGAAGTTTGAAGGGAACTAAACACAGCCAGAGTCCCTCGCTAGTCTCACGTACCGCCAAGGTGATGCTGGGAAACTGTTTTAATCATCCGGGTGGATGTCCACCCGTTTATTACATGTAATCTAAATGTTTATGAAAAATTTGAAAATAAGTGATAATATAGATCAATATGTAGTATATCACTCCACAAACATGCAAGTTAAAATTCAACTTGTACAAATTGTAACAAAAATGCAAACATTCAAACTAAAATTCAACTTCTATTTTTGTTACAATTTGTAGAAGTTGAATTTTAACTTGCATGTTTGTGGAGTGATATACTATATATAGATCTATCTTGTCAATTTTTTTAAATTTTAAATATTTAATTGACATATAATAAATAGGTGGACATCCACTCGAGTGATTAGAATCCATCTCCAGGTGATGCCCCTCCATTTGGACCATCATTATCGCCGCTCCAGCCATCTCTCTATGCCCAATCCCTCCCCCACACCGGCTCTAATCACGAATCCTAATCCAGTAAGTCGCCATCATCGCTGTCACTGGCACAAGAGAAGATATCGCTGAGCTCAAAATTCGTGGCTTAATTAGATCGGTTCGAATTCATAGTCATATAATAAGTCAAGCTAAATTTTTAGCTCGTTAACCACCCCTACCGATAATGAAGCAGGACTGTAAGTTTTTTTTTTTCGAGGAAAGACAAGAAGCTTTATTTAAACTATAGAGTTAGGGTTACAATCCCGAGCCAAAAGCTCAAAGACGCATTCCGGGGACTGTAAGTTTGTAACAGTAGTTTGGATTATATTCTGATGAAAGTTTGACTGACGAGTTACAGTTTCATCTCCGACCTGCACAGAAAATATCCAGCACCCAGATGTAGAATTAAATTTGAAAATATACTTTTCATTTAATTTTATTTTAGAAATATTTGGGATGCAAATTTTTTTTGCAGAAATATACCGTAAATCCCGCATGACTGTTACACGAAAATACCGTAATTACGACGTCGCAAACGGTATCGCGTGAAAAAAATGCGAGACCACCGCGATCTTGCGGAATGAAAGAGCGAAACCAAATGGTCTCGCTGCTGAATCAATCAACGACATAGTCCAACGGCTCCATTTAATTAGTGATTAATTACTTAATTAACTATTAACTAATAATTAGTGATTAATTATTTTAATTAGCAATTAATTAATAATTCGCTGCTGAATCAATCAACGACATAGTCCAACGGCTCCATTTAATTAGTGATTAATTACTTAATTAACTATTAACTAATAATTAGTGATTAATTATTTTAATTAGCAATTAATTAATAATTTACTAATCAGGATAATTAATCACTAATTAAATCGGCATGACACCGATACAGCTGTTTGGTTCCGCAGCGATACCGTTCCTCGAAACCGCGCAGTCTCGTACTTTCCTTGCGTGAGCCCACGCTGACACGCCCACGTTTTTTCGCATAACGGTTATACGAGATCGACAATATATTTCTGTAAAAATTTTGCATTTCGAATATTTCTGAATTTTTTTTAATGAAAAGTATATTTTCAAATTTAATTTCCAAGATGTACAGAACAAACCTGAAAGTCATCTACACGAGCTCCCCGTTGTTATCCATGTCGCTCGCGCCATAGCCTTATCCTCCAGACAAGACGGCGGCGGCCTCCTCCTCATCCTCCATGGTGTCCGACAACCTCCTCCCCTTCGTCTCCGGCAGGAAGGTGACGAACAGCCCGAGGCAGCCGACGGTGAGCCCGAACACGCCGAACGACCAGTAGCTCCTCTCGCGGCCGAGCGCGACGAGCATGGGCGCCACCACGCCGCCCAGCACCCCCGCCTGCCGCACCAGCCCCACCGCCGAGTTGCGCACCGACGTCGGGAACAGCTCGATCGAGTACATGAGCAGCACGTCGTACGCCGCGCACGACGCGAAGAAGGAGGCCAGCTCGGCGGCGAGGCGCAAGTGCGAGCCGCCGGCGCCGGCCTCCGGGTCCGGGATGACGACGCACGCGAGGCTGCACAGCCCGGACGCCGCGGTGAGCGCGACCAGCGAGCTGCGCCGGTTGAACCTGCCCATGAGGAGCCACGAGAGGACGGACGACGGGAGCTCGGCCGCCGCGTTGTACGCCACGCTCAGGTAGAGGTCGGAGCTCAGGCTGCCCACGCTGAGCGGCATCCCGTAGTAGACCACGCCGACGCCGAAGGTGGCCGTCGTGATCGCCGCCAGCCTCCGGAGCGCCCACCGCCGCTCACATATCGACCGCAGCGTGGAGAACATGCCCTCGCCGCCGGCCACGCCGTCCCCGACCTCCCCGGCGCACGTTTCCAGCTTGGTGAAGCTCGACGTTGTAATGCCTTCGCCGCCGTTGAGCGACGCGATCTGCCGCAACGCCGCGATGGCCTCCTGCTTCCGTCCGCGCACCAGCAGCCACCGCGGCGACTCCTGGACGAGGAAGTAGAGGAGGACGGCGTAGCAGAGGGACGGGAGCGACGTCCACACGTACATGTTCCGCCACGACGCCTCGCGGAGCGTGTACGCGAGCGCCGGGAGTGACATGAACCCGACGGAGAAGAAGACGAACGCGGCGACGCTCACCGTGTTGCGCCACCACTTCCCGACGAGCTCCGTGGACAGGACCATCGCGGACGTGCCCGCCGTGGATCTGCAGAACCCGCACACGAACCGCAGGGCGGCGTACACCCACACGTTCGGCGAGAAGACCGTGAGCACGCCGGCGACGGACATGGTCACCAGTGACAGGACGAGCATCTTCCTTCGTCCCAGGAGAGTGTCGGCGAGCGTCGTGAGCAGGAAGCCCCCGGCGAGGTTGCCGGCGAAGAACGACGACGCCGGGAGGGAGACGAGCGCCGGGCCGCCGCCGCCGCACTTGAGCGCCCACTCCGACACCACCGACGTCTCGGCCGGGCGGTCCCACTCCCACGTGCCGGGCGGGAGCGCGCACGCCGAAGCCGAAGCCGAAGCGGCCGCCAGCGAGCAGAACGAGCCGGGGTCGCCGGCCGCGACGCCGGTGCAGTGCCATGTGGGCTCCGCGTCCGTGAACACGGACATGAACACCTGCTGCGCCTCGAAAGCCCAAGCGAAGGCCAGCAACATGGCCGTGAGCAGCTGGCGGGCGCCGGTGGCGCCGATGTACGTCTCGATGGCGTCGTCGATGGACAGTGCCTTGGCCGGCTTTGCTTCATGGCTCGTCAGCAGCGGGGTGGTGGCCGCGTCGGCCATTATCGGCGATTTGGCGAAGTTGAGTGCGCTCTCTACTGATCTTCCTCACGATCGATGGAACTTGCTAGGGGTACTTCAGTATTTATATGTCAAGACGGTGCAATACTGCAATCCAGGATTTAAACTAAATAAGTGATAATTATTCATAAAAAGTTTACATCATAATACAACTAAAATTGAAGCATTTTTCTTGGCATATAAACATATTTTTATGTTTTTACAGTAGAAAAGAGTATTTACGTGCCTATTACTAAGGGATTTTGATATTTTGGTTATAATATTTGACCACTCGTCTTATTAAAAAAAATTATGCAAATATAAAATAAAATGTGCTTAAAGTATTTTACATAATAAAGTAAGTAAAAAAATAAATAATAATTTTATTTTTTTTGAATAATACGAATGGTCAAACAATGTATTAGGGGACGGAGGGAGTATTTGTAATTGGCTAAAGATTTTAGTATTCTAAATTAAATTAAAGTAGAGAGGTAAATCAAGTATTACTCCCTCCGTCTCATAATATAAGAGATTTTAAGTTTTTTTCTTGCACTGTTTGACCACTCGTCTTATTCAAAATATTTGTGCAAATATAAAAAATGAAAAGTTGTGCTTAAAATATTTTGGATAATAAAGTAAGTCAAAAAAATAAATAATAATTTTAATTTTTTTTGAATAAGATGAGTGATCAAACAATACAAGCAAAAACTTAAAATCCCTTATATTATGGGATATATGGAGTATCATTTACGGAGAAATGTATATTAGTAGCAGGAAACAACGATATATATGTGGCTATCGGAACTGTCGAGCCGTCTAAACGTCTTGTACTATTTGTTTGTTTTACTAGCTTGTTGCAGAAAAGCGTTAATCACCATGAAAAACACATACCTACTAATTTGTTTGGGTATTCAAACGTACTGTACGGAGTAGTTAGTTTTGGAAGCTTTAAATGCATACAGCGAAGTGCTTGACCATTTAAACTAATCACATACTCCCTCCGTCCCACAATATACGGGATTTTGAGTTTTTGATTGTAACATTTGACCACTCGTCTTATTCAATTTTTTTTACAAATATTAAAAACGAAAAGTTGTGCCTAAAGTACTATAGATAATAAAGTAAGTCACAAATAAAATAAATAATAATTTCAAAATTTTTTGAATAAGACAAGTGGTCAAACGTTGCAAGCAAAAACTCAAAATCCCTTATACTATGGGACAGAGGGAGTAATAATCAGAGAATTAATTACTACTAGGTGCAAATATAGATGGCCATATGGCCCGGCCCAAGGCACGACAATTTGGCCCGGCCCAAGCACGGCACGGCCCAACGGTTGGGCCCGTGCCGGCCCGGCCCGACAGCCGGGCCGTGTCTAGGCTACTACCTCGGCACAACCCGACATGACCAAAGAAAAATAGTTGAGGGACCCATCATAGACTTAATATAGCGATTTGAGGCATAGCCTAAAGACATGAGATATACAAAATAGACTTATTTCAACCATATAAGACAACCCCAAAAAGATGGGAGAGAAGAAATAAACTTATTTAATAGAGAAGCACGATGGGCTATAGTGCGTTCGGGCCAGGCTGACACGGCCCGAGTCTTATTGGGCCGTGCCTGGGCTGGGGTGCAGCCCGTGGGTAGGCCCGACCCGAAGTGTTGGTCCGATTGTGCCGGCCCGACTAGGCCCGGTCGTGCCTGGGCCGTGGCCCATTTGGCCATTTATAGGTGCAAAACTTGAAATGCAGTGTGGGTGAGGCTAGGCGAAGGCCTCTGACGCATCGATTCTAATGGGTTGTTCTTCTGTGTACCTTTTTCTAATAAATTCGATATAAATAGTTATGAAAATTGTTTATAATTATGAAAAATTCTGAAATTTTTTGATAATTTAGAGTATAGTGATGTATATATCAATTAATCAAAATCAAGTTCCAATAAGATCAATTCAACACTAAAGATTCATGACTTCAAATGATTTATAATGAATCATATTCAATAGAACATAACTTGAAAGAAAAACCCTACATATATACTCATTATATTATCACTCTTTCAGTCTTTCTCCAATCATAACCAAGAGACATTTATTGAAGCTCATTTGATATATTTTTTTATCTCTCAATTATTTCGGGTACGTCATTGTTGTAAAGACTGTTTCAAAAAATTCGGCACCCATTTTTTTCTCTCACTGCGAATACATTTTGTCGTCAACACTGTTTTGACGGATACAATATTCATTTTTTTTCTCTCTTAGCATAAGTGAAAGTGCATCTAGGCCCCTAATGATTTTGATGATTGATTACAATGCGATTAGAGAGGACTAACATTTTTATTCAAGCAGATGTGAAGGTTGTTATGTCCTCAATGTGTTGTAATACAATGCATATCCCATGAATGCGATATCGCGATGCAATGCGGCAATGATCAAATGGTATATTATATCTTTTACCTTGCATTGTATCGTAGGAAAGCCATACTATTAAGGGGATGATGCATAGACATATAAGGAGTGATGCGTGTGCTCAAAATCTATTTTTTCTTGAAGCATTTCTCTTCTTGGAGTGTTCTGTAAATTTTCGGAAGTTCCGAAAATGATTTTCGGAAGTTCCGAAAATACACAGAACCATATTAGAGCTCTCTGGAAATTTTCAGAAGTTTCAAAAATGATTTTCGGAAGTTCTAAAAATACACAGAACCGTTTTGAGCTCTCTGGAAATTTTCGGAAGTTCCGAAAATACTCAGAACAGTTTTTTTTCGTACTGGAAATTTTTGAAAGTTCCGAAAATGTTTTTCGGAGGTTCCGAAAATGGCCGTTGACTTTGATATTTCTCAGATCTGGAATTTTCGGAAGTTCCGAAAATCACTTTTATTGCACACCAATGGGCATATTTGTGCTGTGGGTATAAATACCCACCTCCCCTCACTTGTGAGGGCTGCTGGTTCCATTGCAATTATTTGTGTCCTTGGCTTGTTCTCTCTCTCTAGTTCATTTGAGCCTTGCTTCCTTGATTCATCTTTCCACCCGTGTTTGATTCGGATTTGGTGTGTGTGTGAGAGTGTGGATTCAAGTTTGTGTGGGTGCTTCTTGTGGTCTTCGTGAAGATTTGTGAGCACTTGCATCATCTCCGGGAGTTCTTTGCATCATCTTTTAGTCTTGGAGGTTGAGGACTCCTAGACGGCTAGGTGTCGCTCCCGAGCCACCGATCTACTTGTGGTTGGCCGGTAGAAGTTTGTGAAGGCTGGATCTCGCCTTCGCAAGGGAAGAGATACCTCTTAGTGGAAGGAGGAGTGCTTAGTGCAATCTCTTGAGGAAAGGGTTAGCTAAGACCCGGCTCTTAGTGAGCTCCTCAACGGAGAGTAGAATCCCCTCAAGGATTTGAACTCCGAGAACAAGTTTGCAAGCTTCATCTTGGTGATATCTCTTCATCCCTCTCCTCTAGCTTCGCTTGCTTGTGCCGCTATTGGGCTAGTTGTTGTTTGTGCTTTGGATTCCCTGTGGTAGACTTCTAGATCTAGAGATTTCATTTTGTGTGCGCTGCTCTATGCATTCTCGGAAGTTTCAAAAATCCTTTCGAAAGTTCCGAAAATTCCCAGCCTAGTTCTGAAAATTACTGCTTCCGCTTTACTTAAGTTTTTAAATTAGCCTATTCAGCCCCCCTCTAGACCTAATTGACCTTTTCAATAAGCATTTATGCACTCTTGTGGTGTGGAACAAAAGAGAAATATGAGGAATAACAATTCGACAAGCATATATATAAGCATTAATCATCCAAACTAGCACTAACTTCAACATTGCATATTTCCTTAATTCAAGTAAAAAAAATTATGTGTCATGTATCATATCACTCAGTAGCGAAACCTTAACTAAACCGTATAACAATAATACGATTAAAATAGCCTTTATCCGTTGCAACGCACTGACATTTTTTCTTGTTATTATATATAAGAAAGAAATTGAGAGATAAACATTCATTTTTTTAGCGAACGCGCAATCCATTTTTAGCGAACGCGCAATTGGATTGCACGTCAATATATTACAAGGGAGTAGAATTTTGTTACACAACGCAAACCGTTAAGGAAGAGAGAAACATTCATTAAAGACAAGCGCTATTAATATGTTAAGTGTAACTTTAACTTTTAATTGACGTCGTTAACTTCTTAATTAATATTTTAAAGGTCGGGTCCACTCGTCAATCTAACCCTTCGCCAAATTCATCCTCGGAGAGATGTCTCGCGCTTTTACCGTCTGCATCTCCATCATGGCTAGCTGTTGCCGCCTCCCCTCCTGTGGCCGCGGCCACCCGCACCCCGCCAGCCAGCGTCCTGCTCGCCGTGGCCGGAGACGCCAGAGACTCAGCCATTTCCAAGTGCGCGACGTCGCTACTGCCAGCGAACGCGAGGGACAACAGCCAACTACCGAAAACATAAATTCCTAACTTCCAGCCACATAAGTAGCTGATCAAACTAGATCAGATCGTTAAATTGGCCATAAATTTGAGTTGATCATGATTTCTCATGTGCATAGTTAGATAGGAGATTGGAGGCCGATGGAGACAGGAGTAGATTTGTACTTTTGCCATTGTTTCTAGTTCCATTTCCTCCCGATATAATATAATAATGTTGCCAGTTTCCATCAACAAATTATCACTTTTTTAATTATGTCCTTGAGCAAGAACCCATTCTAGCGATATCCTCAAAAGCACAAACTTTATATGTCCTATCGTAAATTTTGCCTATATGCAATTGCTAAAATTAAGAGAATTTGATATTATTTCGCTAAAATTAGGAGAATTTGGTATTATTCATTTAAAAAAAGAACCACTCCTAGTTAAATCCTTTCAATAATTTACGAAACAATAGTTTGGGTTTCTATGTTGTGATAAGTATTTCGTGACTATATTTACTTTGATTCGTATTTTCTCCGTATTCGTATTCAATATTATTTGGTTCCGTTTATATATCCGGGGTATTCATTTCTATCTTTAAATAAAAAGTTAAAAATAAATATGTTAGATCAAGTTTCCGTCCGTATTTGAGCAGTTGTATT